TGCACCAGAGACTCTCCACCTCTAAACATCTCACATGGTCACATAGTATAAGTAGTTCAAATTATTATGATCCTTCATGGTTTGGTAAAGTGGCAGCACCACGCAGACGCCTGTGGATGGAGGTCCAGGTCTCCAGGGTTGCAGAGCTCTCTGGAGGGTTCAGCTCTGGTTGGAGGTTTGTAGCAGCTGATGATGTCGGGGAATAAGATCGTAATAAGTGATATTACGTTATGCAGTCGTTGCTACTGTAACTGTGGTGGTAACATTATCCACTGATGTCTTCAATAGTAACCTTGTTCCATTATTATTAAATATCATTATTCAGTGTTTCTGAAGGAGTAAAGTGTAAAGGTGATCCAGTACAGTTTAAATTCATGTTTAATATGGGACATTATTATCAGCTGCTACAAGGTTTCAAACAGGTGGGAACGTTATATTTTGTATTAATCAAATGTTTCTATTTCACAGCGTGATTACCTCGTCACTGAACACTCGACCTTTGACCCTTCCTGGGTGTCGTCTTTACGGGTTAACAGCCAGTATTTAGCAGCCGCTGAGGCCACAAATGGACGTTAATGCTGTAAATGACATTAATCGTACTAATATGAGACGTGTTGGACGCTTTGACATCAGCTGTTTTTACTGTTCTGAACCTGTCCAACAATCAGCAGCAGAGTCCTCTCGTGGATTGTGTCCGCAGCGGTTTGTTCTGGTGGGCAATCCGTCAACACTGCTGCTGCTGGATGAACAGAAGAGAGGTGATCCCACAGTTTGGGTTGTGACCGGAGGTTTTGGACCTGAAAGGACATCGGCACACAGTTATTGTGCCATTTACCATCTGAAGTCGCGCTGTTTAAAAGTGTTTGATGCCACTGCAGCTTTCAGAGCGTCTCCAGTTTTACAATAGATTATATTGTCTATGAATCTGTTTTTCAATGGTTGTAAATGATTAATGAGTCAGTTAATAAGTTCTACTTTCATAATAAAACACTCTTCTCCCTTCTTGTAACTCTCGTCTCACAACGACTGATACTTCAGTTCTTTCCCTCCACATATATACAAACAGACTGCTGGAACAATAATGTGTCTTTTAATGTCCACATTAATCCACAGTGCAGAGGAAGAGGAGGAGGAGGATGTGTCTGTTGTTAATATGGACATGATGGTAATCAGGAACGCATCGTTTTAAGCGATACATTGACTATTGATTAAATATTGAATCTAAATGTTGATTAGCTGGACATCCTGAGCAATATGGATGCAGATCTCGCAGTAAATAATAACCAAGTATTCAGTCAACCCACAGTATAAATAGTATTCACTGTTCCAGTTTGAATGCAGACATTTTGAGGACTTTGGCTGAGGGCCCCAGGAAGGTTAGGACCGGCTCTGAAAGTATCCGAGTACCAAAGGAAGTGATTCTCAACCACAGTCCACACAAATATCTACTTAATTCAGGTTATTAAATAAAGTGTAAATGTTAAATCCAGTTGGTTTGTGTTCAAAGAGTCTTTAGTAAGACTTTAAGTATCAAAAACAGCTGCTGCAGCAGATCAATAATCACTCTGATTTTCTTCAAAATAAAAGCATCCAGTCATCCATCAGGAAAGTTTGTTTTATTCAAACGATTGGAGACAAAAGTTTAAACATGATGATTGTAATGTGTCATTATTATTTAGGACACTTTAATGTCCACAGTAGAAACAGGAAGTGATGGTAGACAGATGTAGAGTTTGTAGCAGTGTGCTGTCGCTACGTCACCAGCTAACTAGCTGCTCCAATAACAAAGAACCACATGAGGAAGAAAAGACAACTTAACAACATTAACTCACTGATTGGAAGAATATCTCATCAACAAGGAAACTTTCAGTGCAAATTAACAGACTTAAATATTAAACAGACATTACAGTGAACAACACAACAAGGCACATACAAGGAAAACTCTAGTTTATAATAAATATAATTTATACTGACTCATCTTCACTGTACATTATTACAGCATTAATGAGATTTAATGACCAATCATTGAGTATAGAAGATTCTTGCTCTGCACCATGATGAAAATAGTATAAGACAAGCTGGACAACTCATGACAATAAAATATTGACCTAATATTATGAACTGAAACCAGAGTTTAACTCTTTAACTGATTCCTTCAGTGAGGAATCTCATTGACACCTGAGAAATTCATTTGTTTCCATCTCTTCTCATCTGGACTATTTACAATCCTCTTTTCTCAACCTTCCTATGAGTTGTAGCATTAAAGCTTTAAGGCACAACATAGTTCAGCTACAAGTTACATTACACACACATTGTACACTGTTAAAAATTAAAAATTAAGGGAACACTTCACAGTATAACAACTTCAGGGATATCAATCTATCAAGTTAGGAAGGATAAGTGATTGTGAATCCATTTTACCCGTTTTGGTGCAAATAAAAGTGACAACGAAAGAGGCAACAGCAAGACAACCCCAGAAAGGAATGAGTTTTAGAGGTGACCACAGACAATAGCTCTCTCCTTATCCTTCCTGACTGATTCTTCTCTAGTTTTGCGGTGGGTCAGTGATGGTCTGGTCATATCCTTGCAGGGTCGTACAGACCTCCATGTGCTAGCCAGCGGTACCCTGACGGCTGTTAGGTACCAGGATGAAATCCTCAGAGTCATTGTCAGATGCTGGTGCCGGTTTGAATCCAGACCTCATCGGTTGGTGGTTTTGGTTTCTATTGAACGCTGTTACATTATTTTGTTCAGTACAGTAAAGATTGTGAACTTGAATATTTCGTTTATCGGATCTGATGTGTGATTTAAGTGTTCCCTTCATTATTTTGAGCAGTGTAGATTCAGGGATCTGTTGTTCTGACAGCAGCCACCAGAGGATCAAACAGCTAACTTCTTTTGCTCTGAAGAACCGTTAGAAGAACTGTTTGGATCCTGTCCCAGCAGAGGAAAACCTGCAGAGAATAAAAGAACAGTATATATTACATAAAGTCAACTTTCATTTTACACAGTAAAGATTTTGTTGTCCCTCACAGACAGATTGGGTGTGGACTCCATCACCTCACTCAGTGCTTAGAACAGATAAAGCAGCTGATGAACGGAGAGAAATCCTCAGAGCAGAATAAACTTTAAGCAGAAATAAAACAAGTTCTACCATCTGGAAATACAGTATTTTGCTCACAAACCAGACGACATAAAACAAGCACAAATATGAACCCAGCTTCACCTTGAAGCTGATGTTGAACCACAAACTCTACATTAAATATATTCACTCACTGCAAGAACTAAATAAACATCAAATAACATCCTGTCCTCATCCTCAGATTATCTTCTTCCCCAATTCCTGATCAAATAAATTAGTATATGTAACATTGGTCCTGATACAACTGCCTCTCTCTGTCTGTACTCATTGTTCTGTAGCTTCATGGGCTCTTCATTCTCTCTCTGCTGGAGCTCTATGTCAAAAAAATTATATGGAAATAAATAACGGTTATTTGTTTTTAACATTTTCAAATTGACCTGGTGCATTTTCAATTTTTTTTCTAAGATAATGTTAAAAACATAATTTAGTTCTCTGATGTTGGACAGATGCTGCCTCCCTAAAAGATTTAAATGTTTGTATCATTGTTCAGAGATTATTAGTTTACAGATGATGAGATTATTAGTTTACAGATGAGATTATTAGTTTACAGATGAGATTATTAGTTTACAGATTGTGAGATTATTAGTTTACAGATTATGAGATTATTAGTTTACAGATGACTCTCAGCAGCCTCTTTTATACGGTGTGTTCAAGGTGAGAATGTTTCTGTTATTCCACCTCACCGTTCTGTAGAAAACACTAAAGAGGGGGCATTGTTGTTCTGCTGTTAATCCGGTAGTGGAGGTAGAAATGAGCTGAACTGATGTCTGTTTAAAATGGGGGAGCCGATGGACGCAGACGCTGCTGTGTTACACGCTATGACTCTTTTGTTTCAGAGTAAAACAGCAAAACCTGCGATGGGTCTTCTTCACTGCAGTATTGTTGGATCTCTTTAAAAAGAGCTAATGTTCAATGTTACCCTGAGGTCGACCACCAAACACACTGAACATCCTAAACCTTCAATATAAAGAAATAAATCATTCTTTAATTCCTATTTTGGCCCTGATGCAACCGACAATCTTTACTCACCGCTTTGTGGCAAACTCTTCAACTCATATACATCATCCTCAGTCTCTCTCCGCTGTGGCTCTCTGTGGTTTTGACAAAAAAATTACATGAAACAGTTCTGTTTTTTTTTTTTTTTTTACATTTTCATTAATCATTGTTGTAGACCTAAAGTGATTCTATAATAATTCTATAATAAACATCTCAGTGAAACTCACTGTACTGCCAAATGAAGCACTTTGACTCTTCAAACTTTACTGTTAACAATGAGCATTGTGACCAATCACAGCTGTGAATCACAGAGCGACACTTTATTCACCTCCATCTAAATTAATCACTCACTTTAAGCTTTATGTTCTCAAACTATAAAAGATCATAAAATAGTTCAATAATATGGTTTTGCTCAGATTAGCAATCTTTGGGCTTTATTTGATAGGACAGCTCAAGATGGACAGGAAAGGGGGAGAGAGAAAGGGGATAACACCCAGTCTTTATGCTAAGCTATGCTAACCACCTCCTGGGTTCAACTCCACACTTAACAGGTAAGGGTATTTCTACTGAGATATTCAGGACTACAACAAACCCAGCAGAAGCACTAAGCCTACAGACTGAGTGTGAGAGATATTCAGAGCTTAATCAATAGTTATGATCATAGATTAATGACTGTGTTTTCTTTATGTTTAATGAATCAATCAGTATTAGAACCAGAGGCCTCATGTCAATAGCAACAGAATGGTTCATATCTGAGAAGACAAACACAAACTGTCAAAGTCTCTGGACCTGATAGTCTCAGTGGATCTGTTATGTTGATGTCTGCACATTATGGAGTTGTTGATACATTATATAAACTTACCTTTAATACGACGTATTATGATGCACTTTGTAGCCACAAGAACAAACTGAACTGCAGCAAGAATTGAAGCTCCTAAAACCAATCCACCCAACCATCCAATGAGCTCTTTGCTGGATGATTCCTCACACAGTTTCTCTGAAACACATCACAAAAAGTTAATGTAACACTCAAACTGTAACTGCAGATCATGTACAGCACACTGCTCATAGACTACACACAACAACAATTAAAGGGGTCTAAAAATATTTGAAAACGAATAAACTCATGAACAATGAAAATGATTTGAAATAAATCTCACCATTGATGAACACGTAGATCTCAGAATGAGTCTGATGGTGGATTTCCTCCTGTGTGACTACACAGCGGTAGTGGTCGGTCTTGGTCACAGTGGTGAGGAGGGTAACGTAGTAACGTCCTCCTCTGTCTGAAACCTGTGGCTCCTCAGCAGGAAGGATGTTTCCAGCACTGTCCTTCCACTCTACTTTAGGTTTAGGAGAAGCACCTTCAACAACACACTGCAGCAGAGCTCTGTCCTCTGTGGGATTAAGTGTCCTGATGTACGGCTTTGGAGCTGCTCCTGTGAACACAATATAAAGAAAAGCTTCTTAAGGACAACTAGTAATGTAATAATGGGATGTTGTTGTAGTTATTCCTTCCCTGACTGTAGATATGGAACACATTGTGTTTAAGAGAGAGAACACAGAGAGATAAAAGCTTTAACTTCACACTCCAACGTTGTTTGATAGAAAATGATAACAGTTTTACGTCTTTTGAGAAATTTGGTGATTATTGACGACTGAAACATTTCTGATATAAGTCTGGACACTAAGAGGTTCTAAAAATGTTTTTAATAGAAAAAAATATAAAAGAAGGTTAACTTATATCAACTCAAATATGAACCAGTTTAATTTTGATCACAAGTTCGTGTAACCACAGAGAAGTTTCTTGTAATTAAAAGAAAATCTTCTTTGAGTTTGAACTCTATTTTTATATTGTGTCCAATCAAACAGCAGTGGAGAGCTTGTGGCTCTAGAGGACCAAACCAAAGCCTGATTCAATGACTGAAGTCATCAACTAACATGTAGTTTGTTCACCTGCAGTTATGCAGCTCTTTTTTCCCACATTAACCTCTGAGCCTGTCTACCTGCTACACTGTGAGAGAACAACAACAAAGTTCAACATGAAGTTACTGAATCAAACCTTCTCAATGACACTGAGGCCTAGAGAGTTGTAGCACACAGTACAGATACAGAGATCAGTCCTCACCTGGGATTTCTCCTGATCGGTCTTTAAGGGCAGGATCTGAAAGACAAATAAAGACTTTAATGTTTTCACAAGTGACATTATGAACTAATGGAGTAAAACACAATCAGAGTCACCAATTCACACAGCAAAGGCCACATATTTAATGAGGGAGATCCATGTTCAGACCATCACCTAGTAACTAAATGGATGATACATACAATAATACATCAGCCATATACTTCAATCATCAATTTCCTGCTAAATCACTTTGTTGCAGAGTGTTAAATAAGATCAATCCCACTCTCATGTCAGTGTACTAATTATGAAGCTACAGCCAGCGTGGTCAGAGAGGCTAACTTTGGCCGCACAGGGCCGGCCCAAGGCATAAGCGAACTAAGCAGCTGCTTAGGGCCCCCTGACCACTAGGGGGCCCCAAGAGCAATTAACTTAAAAAGAAAAAAGTAATTAATTATTTTTTTCCATGTGTGAGTGATGATGAATCATATATTATCAAAATGTACATTATGATGTTAACAGAGTGTAGTTTCCTACTGCCTCTCTGCTCGAACTGTCAGAGCTCTGTTAGTAACGTGTGCAGAGCTCCCAACCGTACAGTGCCGTGTGCACTGAGCATCCAGGAGCTAGGAGCAGGTGAATGATGTCACAATAAAGGACCTAACGTTACCTTCAGGGGCAGGAAGAGGAAGAGGAAGGAAGAGGAAGAGGAGAAACAACGACAAGGTAAAGGTATGTCTTGGTAATGTAACATTTGGTGTCAAGGAGATTGAAGTTCCAAATTATTTCATTAGTTTCAAGTTCCCTGAAATTATTAAAGTCCCAAATTATTGTTGATATTTTGTTCCAAATACGTTAGCCTGTAATAGCAAATCTGCTAGCGAACATTAACGTTAGTTCAAAACATTTTACTACTACTCTTTTATGGGTTAGATATAGGATTATATAGGATTATATAGGTTAGATAGGATTATATAGGTTAGATAGGATTATATATAGGATTATATAGGTTATATAGGATTATATATAGGATTATATAGGTTAGATAGGATTATATATAGGATTATATAGGTTAGATAGGATTATATAGGTTAGATATAGGATTATATAGGTTAGATATAGGATTATATAGGTTATATATAGGATTCTATAGGTTAGATAGGATTATATAGGTTAGATAGGTTAGATAGGATTATATAGGTTAGATAGGATTATATAGATTAGATAGGATTATATAGGATTCTATAGGTTAGATAGGATTATATAGGTTAGATAGGTTAGATAGGATTATATAGGTTAGATAGGTTAGATAGGATTATATAGGATTATATAGGTTAGATAGGATTATATAGTTTAGATAGGATTATATAGGATTATATAGGTTAGATAGGATTATATAGGATTATATAGGTTAGATAGGATTATATAGGTTAGATAGGATTATATATAGGATTAGATAGGTTAGATAGGATTATATAGGTTAGATATAGGATTATATAGGTTAGATAGGATTATATAGGTTAGATAGAATTATATAGGTTAGATATAGGATTATATAGGTTAGATAGGATTATATAGGTTGGATAGGATTATATAGGATTATATAGGTTAGATATAGGATTATATAAATTATATAGATTAGATAGGATTATATAGGTTAGATAGGATTATATATAGGATTATATAGGTTAGATATAGGATTATATAGGTTAGATAGGATTATATAGGATTGTATAGGTTAGATAGGATTATATATAGGATTATATAGGTTATATAGGATTATATAGGTTAGATATAGGATTATATATAGGATTATATAGGTTAGATAGGATTATATAGGTTATATATAGGATTATATAGGTTAGATAGGATTATATAGGATTATATAGGTTAGATATAGGATTATATAGGTTAGATAGGATTATATAGGTTAGATAGGATTATATGGGATAAATATAGGATTATATAGGATTATATAGGTTAGATAGGATTCTATAGGTTAGATAGGATTATATAGGTTAGATATAGGATTATATAGGATTATATAGGTTAGATAGGATTCTATAGGTTAGATAGGATTCTATAGGTTAGATAGGATTATATAGGATTATATAGGTTAGATAGGATTATATAGATTATATAGGATTATATGGGTTAGATAGATTATATAGGATTATATGGGTTAGATAGGACGATATAGGTTAGATAGGATTATATAGGATTATATAGGTTAGATAGGATTCTATAGGTTAGATGCTTTTTCTATAGGTTAGATAGGATTATATATGTTAGATAGAATTATATAGGATTATATAGGCTAGATAGGATTATATAGATTATATAGGATTATATGGGTTAGATAGGATTATATAGGTTAGATAGGATTATATGGGTTAGATAGGATTATATAGGATTATATAGGTTAGATAGGATTATATAGGTTAGATAGGATTATATAGATTATATAGGATTATATAGGTTAGATAGGATTATATAGGTTAGATAGGATTATATAGATTATATAGGATTATATAGGTTAGATAGGATTATATAGGATTATATAGGTTAGATAGTTTACTATTCAAGCTAATGTTGTTGTGTTTTTGTAATACTTTGAATAAGTTGATTCTCAGTGTATTTATATTATTCTGAGTCACTTTTTGGCATCAAAACAACGTTTTTGATAACGTTTGATAGCAAATGTTTGATAACTAACGTTAATTACAAACGTGGTGACGTTTGCTAGCAATATGGTTTTACATTAATGAATTCATTTAGTTAACTTATAGTTTGAGGTAGGGATGGGGCCGATCCGATCCAGTATCGGTAATTCACGTATCGGAATTTCCCGATCCAACCTGCGGAGATTTCCGATATCCATGAGCCATGACTGCACTTTAACGCTGTCTGCTGAAATGACTCCACAGTCTGCTGGCTGGCTGCAAACTGTGGAATGGATTTCCCTGAACGGAGGCGCGGCTCAATGAGACACGCCCCCGCTCAGGAAATCCATTCCGCAGTTTGCAGCCAGCTAGCAGGATAGCATTGAGCAGCATTGTGGCTAGCCAACATGTCCGCTGTGTGGAAATACTTTACACTGGAAACACCGCAGAGCAAGACAGCAAAATGCAATGTTTGCAAAGCCGTAATTCAGAGACGCGGAAGCTCTCTCGCATCGTACAACACTACGAACACAATCAAACATTTAAAAAAAGCACCACACGAAACAGCACGAGGATTATTTAGGCGAGCTGTCAGGAATCACTTCTAGAGTCATTCCAAAAACAAAGTAAAGTCCAGGCAGACAACATGAAAGCTAAAGGGATTAGTATGTGTGTGTGTGTGTGTGTGTGTGTGTGTGTGTGTGTGTAAGATTTACACTTATTGCACTTTTCTTATATTTCAAGACTCAAATATTTCACATTTTGGGAATTTAATAAATATTGACATGACAATACATTTGAAACCCTTACAGGGTTATGGTGTACATATTTGTTTTCAGGATGGGATTTTTTCCTGTTAACAGGATTTCCTGTTTTTCTGACTTCCTTTTCTGACCTTATACTTACCTCAAGTTGCCTTTTGGGACATACATGCATACATACGTACAGATCATACTTGCCTGTTGAGGAGTTTATTCATATTATCTCATATAAAATCAACAATAATGATAATAATAATATTAAAGAAAACTCTGGTATCGGAATAGTATCGGTATCGGCCGATATCCAAATTCAGGTATCGGGATCGGATCGGAAGTGAAAAAATGTGGATCGGTGCATCCCTAGTTTGAGGTATGTTGTTTGCAATTGTTTGCTGCAGAGCACAGTAATTTATGTGAGTAAATAAACATATTCCTTTTACATCAACTCCCTATTGTGCTCATACGTTATATGAAACTTCCCCAGGAGCACTGTTAAAGTATTTAGGAGGAGGCACTGACTCAGCCCAGGAGCAATCCACCTCCTCAGGAGCAGCCAAGGCTGATGAATCAGGTGATCAAACATCATATACATTTAATTTCTAGTCAGATTATCTCATTAAGATATACTAATATAAGATATAATCATATGACAAGGGACATGTTTTTCATCTCAGGTCCATCTCTATCCTCTGCTCCATCCACTGTGCCCACTGTCCTCTCTGCAACCTCAGCTGTACCTGGTAAGTTAACATCAGAACAACCTTTATAATTGCTCAGTGTACTGCAGAATATTCTGAGATGAATCATTTTGTCCAAAAATATTATTTTAATTTCCCTATAGGTCCTTCAATCTAATTTTGCTTAGGGCTCCATGGAGGCTTGGGCCGCGACTAATAATTTTTCTAGGTCACACGGGTGCACCTGGCGCTTCCCGGGTGAAAACATACATTTATTTCGCAAGCGCATCATCTCTCTGTGTTCTCCTGTGACCAAACTCACACACTCATGGTAGGATCATATCGTGTTCTAAACCAATAAGATACAGAGCTCAGGCGGGTCTTTGCCTCTGATTAGCTGTGGTCCTGTTCACCGCACTAAGTTGTGTGTGTTAAAAATTGCGCGCGACCTGAGCGCGAGAGTAGCTGACTAACTGAAACGGAAAAATGAAATAAACGCGACAAAACAAGGGAAAATGAAGAGAGGCAGAAATATTGAAAGTTTTTTCATTAAGAAAACCAAGCCTACAACCAGCCCTACTACTATAATCCCATCCATCCCCACTACTGAGAGTTCATCCCGTCAAGACACGGAGCCCTCGGTCCCTGGTGAGATACCAAGACCCGGTCCTTCGGCTACAGCATCAGACTCGGAACCAGAGGAGGAGACAACCGAGTCTGGGATAGAGCCCGGCTCCGAGACCCAAATTTAAAAGGCCAAAATATATTCCTTCAGACAGGACTGGCTGAAACAAGTTCCCTGGCTGAGGTTCAACAAAGGACGTAACGCACTGCACTGCGTGTACTGTCAGGAGTGCGGTCAGAATATGGATGAAATAGTGCATTCGTGAGCGGGTCAACAACGTTTCATATCGAAACTTTATTTGGAAATGTTTTATTTTGCTCAGTGTTTTAGTTTGAAATGTTCAATTTCAGCTCAGTGAAGCACTTTAAACACTTTATTTTTCTATTTATATATAATTGTGCTTCAAATAAAGACAAGCATTTCTCTACACCTTATTCTTGTTTGAGAATCATTCACATTATATGAAATTTATGGAGAGCGATAAAGAGGTGACCTTACGGTGTTAAAGGCAGCGCAATGAAAAATTTGGGTGCACCTAAATTTTGTGCTGGTGCACCTAAAAAAAAAAGTTAGGGACACCAGTGCAACCAATGCAAAAAGTTAGTCTGGAGCCCTGCCGCAGTCTGCAGGTGAGTCATTGGATTCAGATGAGGAGGCGGGAAGCTGCCACCACATATGTCTCCTGCCTCCAGATCAGTCAATAGCTAAATTCAGGTGCACATCTCCCAGCAAAGAGGACACTGAAAGGATGTACTGGTAGTCACACACACACACACACACACACACACACACACACACACACACACACACACACACATATATATATATATATATATATATATATATAGACATACACACATTCACACATACACACATGCATACATATATTGTTTAATGGTTTCGACCTACATTGTTAAATAGGGGTATAATATGACTGAGAATTCAATCTTAAAGCATTAAAATTACATATTTTATTTCACCTTTAAACATGTAGTAGCACTATGGAGCTGTTTTTCTAAGAGTGGGCCTCTGTTTGACTCCATATAGACACACAGTTGGTGGTTTCACACTGTGATGACCTACAGGTGGTAGTAACCTGTCAGGATATGCAGCAATGCACCATCAGTGCCCCCCTTGTGTAATTATCACTAGCTGCACAGGTACCAAGTGGTCATATTGTTGCTGCCTGAATTTCTACTCAATCAGTCAAACACTGCAAAAGTATAATATGATGGGTCCGAGGAAAAGTCTCAAAACTCCTAAAAACTAATGACTAACAAACAAACAAACCTCCAACACTGACTGCATGAATATTACCAGGTCTTACTATCTTACTAGTTTGTTTTACCTTTGTGTTTATTTGGTGTAATACCCTTCTTTGAACACTGGGTGGCAGTCACCTAAAATGGGACTGCATTTATGTAGTAAGGATGATGCAGCCAGGTGTGGTGCATCATGTGAGGTGTGATGGCCGCCCTAGCAGCCACATACTGGGGAAAGCACATGTTTTCTTTGAGTTACCAGTTCCTGCTGCTGAAGATGTCTCATAGAAGACAAAGGAACTGCTGGCTGAATCAGAAACAAAGGGGTTGGGCCAATAATTGGGCTACACCATATTGGCTGAAATCATGGGGAGAGGCAGTGAGTTCTCCTTGTTTGAGTTTAGTTATTAGGGACCGAGCACTGACCAGTGCAAGGCCCTATTGTAATGCAAGGAATTATTATTTTGTGCCTCTTTGACCGCATATTTGACCCCCGCAGCATTCTCAAAAAGTCATGAAAATTTGCACAAAATTCAAACGTAGCGAAAATACCGATATGTTACCGTGCACGGGCACCGCCAAACGGCTAAGCCACACCCCCCGAATCAGCCCCCCAAGACACGTATGGCCGACATGTACGGAAATTGGTACGCATGTGTATGATGATAAAAGAAGCAGAAAAGTCTCAAGGACCCATACCTCAAACCCAACAGGAAGTCGGCCATTTTGGCCATTTTTGGCGATTTGCACACGTTGTATTTGAACGAACTCCTCCTAGGGCATTTATCGGACCGACTTCAGATTTGGACACAGCCATCTAAACACATTCACTATTAAAAGTTGTGCTCCTCACTTGTTTTCGTCAAACTTTGTGGATGTGGCGTGGCGTCCCGTGGCATCTAATTTCGATCCTTCGCCATAAAAAGAGGGATTCGTAATAACTTCTGCGTACATGATCCGACTGCAACGAAACTTCACATGTTTGATAAGAGTCCCGCCCTGAACACGTCTATGTGATAATATTCAGTAATAGTCAGAGCGCCACCTAGTGGCAACAGGAAGTATCACGTTTTATACTTTCATGTTCTACTCCTAGCAGGATGACCAGATCCAGCTGAAATTTACTTATAAAATGCAAAACACATTGTTGATGATGTGATGAGTGCGGTGAGGGGGCGTGTCTTTGGCGTGGCGGGACATTTTGATGTACCGCCACAAAACACGAATTTGCTATAACTTGAGTGTACATTGTCCAATCGGCTCCAAACTTCACTTGTCTGATAAGAGTCCCGCCCTGAACATGCCTATGTGATAATATTCAGTAATAGTGAGTTTCTTTTATATGTATCTCCCAGCAGATTGCCCAGATCGTGAAATTCTTACAGCAGTCCCTTAAGACGATGGTGAAGACATATCATGAATCTTAAGAATTTTTGTCGAACCTTGTTGCCATGGCGATGTTGCGAAAATCAGCTTTTCTGTTAACATTTGAACACCTCTTGGGGGGCTAAACATGCCCGAACATTAATGAAATTTTGCACAAAATTCAGTCGTGGCAAACGCTAAGGTCCTTGGGCGTGGCATAATGGATTAGACACGCCCCCCAGAATCAGCCCCCAAGACACGTAAGACCGATGTATGAAAATTGGTAGGCATGTGTATCATGATGGGACAAGCAAAAAAGCCTCTTGGACCCATAACCCAACAGGAAGTCGGCCATTTTGATTTTGATTTTCACTTTTTAACGTTGTATTTGAACGAACTCGTTAAAATTGGCTTATCGGATCTGGTCCAAAATTGGTCGCTACAGTTAAAGAACAGAAAAACTTCTTGGACCCACACCCCCCAAGCCCGCGAGAAGTCGGCCATTTTGATTTCAAAATTGGTCAGTACAATCAAAACAAACTGTAGATGAATTGTGTTGTGTGATGAATGTTTCATAAGAGTCCCGCCCTGAACACGTCTACATGACAATATTCAGACATAATGATAGCACCACATAATGCCAACAGAAAGTAAGCGCTGCGTGGCGATTTTGAGCTGATATACGTGAAATTGTCAGGTTGTGGTCTGCACATGTTACGACGGCACGTGACGCGGCCGCAGCGCACCCACGCCAAGATAATGCACCCCCGCTGGCTGCCGCTCACATTGCAGTTTAACAACAAGTAGAACTATTCAGAGGTTATTGGGGCTGTCCACTTTAATTCCACATACTGTTGTGTTGATGGAGCTTATTGTCAAAACGTTCGCTTTCTTCCAAGTCGACTATTAAACTAACAGCTCCACCAAAATTTTGGACGGGCCTGCCGCCACTGCTAAAGAAAATCCTAGAGGAAACACTGGGGTTGTTATGGTTTGTTTAAATGTTATGTTTTAGTCTATTCCCCCTGTGTGTCAGAGTGACCTGATCAGCCACTTTTTAAATTCCCCCAATGTCTCAGTTTAGTTAGGTTGGTGGGTTTAGTATGTTTAATTTGTTCAGTTAATGTAACCTGAGTTAAGTTCTGTTTATTTGACCTCTTTTATGGGCCCAGAACGTTTTGTATAATTTGTAAATTGATTATTTTTACATTCTTTTGTGAATAAAATTACTTTTGGTAAAAATTTACCTCTGACTCCTCATGCCTACCAGCTCTGTCCCTGACATGAGGCAATGCATTTTTTTTTACTATGGTGTGATCATGGCATGTGATTGATCTGAAATTTGGTTAGACTGCCCGACTGTGTGGTTTATTGCTCCATCTGGATGAAAGGAAGTTTGTAAAAGTCTCTAGTAAATCTGCAGAGGTACATCTGGACATTGTAATTGTAAGCGTTACACAGCCGATGCCTACAACACATCAGTTATGTCACTGTCATGCAGTTACAGCCTCAAAAATGACCACACAGTTAAATGAACTTGATTCTTGATTCAACATACATTTCTAACTTCAGAGTTATTGTTGATTATATGATTATAAGTCGTCAGGTGTCTGTTAATTGTTGCCAGGAATATCAACAATAATTTTTCTAGTCAACTAGTCTAAAAGTAAGAAAATGCTCAATGTTGATGCACCTTTGCTATGTTTAGAACTTGTTCTCGTTGCTGGCTGGATTATTGTCTGCAGGGTTAAAATGAAAAATAAAATAATACTTTCCAAAGTCTAAAGTTGGATATATTAATTCATTTATTTCTTAAATAGAAACAAACAAACCTAAACTAATGTACCAATTAGTGAGCACCTTTAATAGACTCATGGCCACCAACAGTTAAACACAGAAAATGTCTCCAACACTCAGTAAACTGTCAATATTGAGCACGACTGTAAAGACAGAAACCGCTCACATACAGCCAGGATTCATACATTACTGTTATTTACATCACTTTATCCTGTTACACACATTTGACACAGGGGCAACATATGGACAATAACTTTTGGCAGGACAATGCCATAAATAATTAGAAAGAATATTAAAAATGCCCCTTATTGTTATTAGCCAAAGATTCATGGCTGCTTGATTGTTGTAGGATAACCTGATGCATGATGGATGTTTTTTCCACCGCCAGCTGAATTAACTTTGTGATGTGAATGACAAACGTAGATGACATGGCATCATTGATGATATGAAGTTACAGAGGATAATGTTACAGCTTTCAGGGAGCAGCTAAGCTAATGCTACATTAGATTTAAATCAGTCAGTCAGCACATTCAGTGAGGCTCACAGCTGTTGTATAATGTGACTGCATCGTAACTTATCTGATCTGGAGCATCTGGGCCTAATGCTTGATGGATATAATTTAATTCAATTCAATTCAATTTTATTTGTATAGCACTAATTCATAACAGAAGTTATCTCAGGACACTTTTCAAATAGACCAAACCTCCTTATAACATTAAAAATAAATAATATCAAAGCTCCTCATCCACATGAATACCACTGATATTACAACCACATCTCATATTCTACATTATGTTGAAGTTATTCTTTGTTGTTATAATAAATATTTGTTACTTTTGAGATGTCTTTCCCATTTTTTGTCATGGTCTATGAGCCAGGTTATGACACAGTTCCACATCCTCTCTTACTTTGAATAGTGCCATCAGTGAGGTAAGATGGTAGAGAGTGTAGTTGTATATAACTTCTATCAACATCTTGGCAAAGTGCAGATTTTCATTGTAAAATTAAATAATTCATTATTGTCAGTACGACAACTAGTCCTACTTCCAGTGACTTTAATAGTTAATATAAAATAATATTAATATTAATGAAAGTACTCACTAACAACAAGCTCAATGTAGAAGATTTGACTTGGTTGAAGACGAGGAAAATGACAGGTGTATTTTCCACTGTCAGATATCTTCGTATTTCTGATCTTTATGGAGGCGTTACCGTTCTTCAGTTGATCAGAAAAATGTGAGACTCGACCTTTGAACTGCTCATCTTGACCTGAAAGGCCGTTATTGTAATGATCTCCTGAATCATACAAGAACACCTCCTTCTGACCATCTTTTATCCAGTCAAATCGTTTATCTACAATGTTCTCCTTGGAGCCGAGAGAACAGGGTAGAATAACATCACTGCCTTCTTCCACGATCACTCTGACCACAGCTGGACCTGAAAGATGAAACATATTTCAGTCATTATGATTAATAAAGAGAAATCAGATTACACACATAGTTTAAAACCTTGTTAGTTAGTAGTGAGATTATTTATGGATATTTTTCATACTCGTATAATTTCAGTATATTTGTGATTGAGTAAATTTTTTTAATGAATTATCTAAATCTACCTATGTAGAACTGAGTGGGATATTGTTCCAATTTTAGTATCTAACCATTAAAAATTCTGTTCTGATAACAGAAACGTAATGAAAGATGTATTTCAACAAAAGAAAATAGATAAAAATAAAAAGTGTCCCTTGTGGCCATTCTTTAAAACTATATTTACTCATAGTTAATATTATAAAATATTAAATATTTATAAAACAATAAATACAGGTGGAGCTACATTACTATGCTTACACTGAACCTTAATGAAGTGTAGAAACCAGTGAATTATTGAACTGATTGTTTCAGTGTTGTTGTTCTATCAGTGAGGGTTTACAACGTAACACATGGCTCTATCAAAATAAAAGCTTTTACTCTTCTGTACCTTTGTATTATTCACTGAAAAAGGAAACACTGGATTTAAAGACACGTGTGATAGTGACACTGGAAAATAAAACACAGGCAAGTACAGTGCTACTGTGTATAATAGACTCAGTTTTACTTTCTGTCCCTCAAACTCCACCAGAGACAATCCACCATTTTGTAATTCAGTTCCAAACCGTACATATGTATTTTCCTTTATTGAAAATACAAAATAAACTTATTTTCTTTTTATTTTACTGTTTTTAAGCCTTTTATTCTCTTTTTTTATATTATTTATTTAATTACATTATGTTTGTCCTCTACCATGCAGTTTCTTCTTCTTTATTTCTGTCTTCCTGTTCTCAGTGTCCTGTTTTCTGTCTGTCAAAGTACTTGTAATGTGCTTTTGTAAATTATTATTATTGTTTTTATTATTATTGTGTATTTCATCTTTATACATTTTCCTCTACCAGTAGGTTATTTAGTATTTTACTAAATACAGAATACCACTAAAATAACACACCTCCACATTAACAACAACATACAGATATAATATGTCTTTCTTACCGTTTCCATCTCCAACTATTATTGCAGACAGCAGACAGAGACACAAACTCATAAGGAGAGCTGTGGATGCCATTATTCTGGTTATCCTGAACAAACGTTAACAGGTCTAATGTCAACTGTTCACATTTCAGTAAGATCTGTCAGTACGTGACACTGATTGCAACTTTGGACCACAAAGTCTTCCTGTCAAAAGTGAAACTGCATTATGGTTGAGCAACAAACAACTTAAGGAAGTAACACACGTGACTCGAGCTTAATGTGTGTTACGAAGAAAGAAGAAGCTTATTGTGACATTTTGAACACTACAGGGTACTACTATATCTGATATGACAGCCACATTATACACAGGCTGAGTTCGGTGTAGATTTTCAACTTGAGACAGACTCTCCATCAACCGTTCATTGCAGCCCTGATCTGACATTACACTGAAGTGGAGTGATGATTAAATACCAAGTCACTTTGGAGGTCTTTTAAACCCAAATCTTTAAGTGCTTTTATTTTTGAAGGTGTGTGAAACCGAAAGTGTTGTAACGCTGAGAGGCCTCATCTGGTCCGTGGGAAAAGATCTGCTTTTAGAGAATTGAGACGTCCTTTCCTCTGCAGCGTCCTCTGAAACATCTGTTTCTGTCTGTCTGCACACATGTGAACTGTACTAACATCAATAAAGACAGACAGACAGAGTTCTCAGAGCCAGAGCAGCAGCCTGTTACCTGTTTAACAAACACCTGCACATGAACAACAGCCTGTATTACAGTGATGATGACACTGTGATTGATAGCTGATGGGTTGAGGCTGAATTAGTGTGAGCTTCCTCCCAATTAACAGAGACACTGTGTGCATTGTGTTTGCTCACAACGCTGTGGTCTAAAAGGGTTGTTCTTCAGCCTTCAGCCTTTTATACAATCACAATAAAAAAAGAGCAGTCTGATGTTTAAAATAGCACAAAATGATCCACCATCCAGTCTACTTTCTGGTTTCCCATCCAGGGTTGAAGGATGCTGGAGCCTGTCCCATCAGGACCTGCTTACACTGACTGAAGGACAGTTAATGAAAGAGTGAACATATCAAAGATAACACAACAGTCACAGACCGAGGAGACAGAAACTCTTCACATATTTTCTGAGCACTTATAGGACTTACAGGCTCTGCTGTTTTTTTAATATCTTTATATATGTACAGTTATACATATATAAAGATAAATAAAACAGTGGACAATAGTGCAAAGGATGCTGGAATAAATATTTACGTGCAGGTATTTTTATGTACATGAAGTAGGTGGATATGACAGAATATACAATATATATACTATAATAATAATAATAATAATAATAATAATAATAATAATTACTGTGCAATACCATTCCATATTCACTGTGCAATCTATTGCCCATGTGCAACTGCTGCTGCTACTTCTATTTGTGTTATCTGTTGTTTTGGATTCTTACTGTTATTTCCTACTCTTACTGTTTTTATACTGTTTTTTTTCTCTATCCACTTTGCTGCTGTAACATTGGAATTTCCCCATTGTGGGACAAATAAAGGAAATATCTTATCTTATACAGCAGGCCCAGCATGCGTTTGAGTGAAGATATATTTATGTTTTTTAAAAGAGAAAAAGGACGTTATATATTCATTATTGATAAATTGACCTCAGAATAAGAACCTGATGAAAGTGTGACACTGCCACGGTGGACTGGTGTGAGTAATACACACTTTGGTGTGATGGTTGATCAAACAGCTCCGTGTTGAAGTGATTCCAGGTGACCACACTGTGTGTAATGTGAGCTGTTGGACTCATGATGTTGTGTGTGATGTGATGTGATGACTGTCTGATGTGTTTGATCAGATCCATCAGTTGTTATCCTCACAGTGGTCGTCCTGCTGCTGACTCTGCTGTAGGTAAACACCGCCCTCTGTTGCTGCTGTGAGGTACTGACACTGTCTGTGGTTCAGAGGACTGACAGAATGATGAAGCACTCTGTTTATTGAACTGAAGAGAGGAGTGATGTTGTCGTGTCTCTCCAGGCCTGCAGGGGGCAGGAGCCGGGCAGACAGGAGCACATTGAGCTGGATGATTATAACCTGGGTGCTTGTGCAGCTGATGAAGGGCCGATTGTAGAGGAAGGAGCTCAGAGAGCACAGTAGGACCTCCGGGAGTTCATCTCACATCCACAGAGATTTCTCAACCATCAGCTCAGTCAATGATTGTTCATCATTACTTACCTTTAAACAACGAGGCTGTAATTATTATATTGCATTATATAATATATTTGTGTTACTCTCAGCATGAAAAGACCAAAACCAACAACATGGGAGTCCAGCTTTCAGTACTTTCAGCCCTCCTGTCTGTGGCTCTCAGCTCCAGGTCTATTGGCTCTAGACCTCAGTAAATACCTGCTTTATATATATAGTCCACTTTAGAAATTAAACTATATCTTTGTGAGGTGTTTTTATGTTTATGTCTTTTTGTTGGCCAAGTAATGTTATATATTAAATTAAAACAAAAGTGAAACATTGTCATGTATCCTCTAGATCTGGTTTTACAGTACTCGATCACGTGGAGACATTTGAACAACTGAATCCTCACATAACAGCTATAAACATGATCAGGACCACCTGCTGTTGGATTTGGGGCCCCATTACAGTAAAACTGTTTGTCCTGTCTTGAGTTTCAAACATGGTAAATCTTATCTTCCTATTACAGGAGCAATTCTGAAACTCATGCTGTGTCCTATCTCAGAGTCACGATAAATGAATAATTACTTTTTTAATTATTTAAATACATTTTGGGGCTTTATAAAATGTCTTTTTAAGAGAGGACAGTGAAGGTAAATCAATGTCCCACACAGATACTAACAACAATGGTGCTGCCACTTTCTGCCGTTATTTTGAATGGAGGACAGGGTCAATGCCACCCTAAATTCTTCTGTTAGTAGTAGAGAGATTGTTTCCCTACATGTAGTTAGGAAACATGTTACTGTAAAAAACTAAAACAAACTAAATGCCCTCCTAAACTGAGATAAGTCAGAAAAAGTACAACATTAAAAATCTAACCAGTTATTAGGTTTAGGGGGCAAATACTTTTTCACATAGGGCCAGGTGGGTTGGAAAGCTTTTTTCCCTTTAATAAATGAAATCATCATTTAAACACTGTATTTTGTATTTACTCAGGTTATCTTTGTCTAATATACAAATTTGTTTGATGATCTGAAACATTTAAGTTTGACAGATATGCAAAGAAATAAGAAATCAGGAAGGGGGCAAACACTTTTTCACAGCACTGTACATAAATGGAAGAAGTTCACTGAAGGTTGAACACTGCTCGACTGTGTTGGACTGACATTTCTTTGAACTTTACTGGAATTCTGAAATGGAAAATACTAATAATGATTGATTAGTTTAAACTGAGATCTGCTTTGTGGCCACTGCTGTGCACTGAGTGTTATACTGTATTTGACACTTCTAACATCTGGACGTGTTGAATAGAAAGCAAACAGCAGGGATTAAAATGTGCAGACACTAAAAACATCAGTTCTGACAGATCATGTGAGACCATATTCCAGTAAACTCCTGCAGAACCACACTAATATTTACAACCAAACATTTAAATCCTCTGCTGTTAAAAATGGGACAGATATTTATATTTTCATTATTTGTCTTCAGTCAGTTAGTAATGTTAGATAGAGCTCAAACAATCAATCAGTGGGCTCTGTTACTGTTCTGATTAATAGTTTCCTTTTTTTACAGCAGTTTTCAGTTTTTCTGTGATTTATATAATTATAAATGAGACATCTTTGGGTTTTGGTCTGTTGGTCAGAGAAACAGGTTAAAGAAGTTGGGCGTTATGTGATGGGCATTTTTATAAATCACTAAATGTGTAATGGATGAATCTTGAAGATAATATGCTAATTGATAATGAAAATACTCACTGAGATTTCACTTAGCTGCTGTGATGATGAAATATCAAATTCAGTCAGTTTGAAGGTCTTTCAAACTCTATGAAAGCTTTTATTTTGAAAGTGTTTCTGTTGGGTGGGACCCATTGACTGTATATATACCCTGTGAGTGTGTGGAAAAGTGTCAGTGTTTGGGACCTGCCTATTGGCTGATGTTTTTACATCCTGTGTTACACAATGATTATGTTTCAAAGCATGCTAACTTCCCTTTATTATTCAGAATATGAGAACATTCCCTTTAATGCTGTATACCTTACTTGTTGTCTCACATCACTTTCTGTATAAATGTGCAACTTAAAAATGTGTTTATCAACCTAATGTTTGCCTGAACTCAAAGATTAAACCTGCAGGAAATATCTCCTAACTGTAACTTCAAACCGAGATCGATTTAAGAAGATACACTTTATATATAAACTTTTCAGATAAATCACAACTAAAACCTGATCAGCCCATTAAATATGATGTTAATGTAGATTAAACAGTATATAAATTCATTAAAATTAACTCCACTTTAACCAACTTTAATATTAAATTGCTGCTTAATGTTAATATATGCATCTAAAGTCAATCCAAGGACTTTTACATGTAATGAGGTACTTTTAGTGGTGGAAAGTAACTAAGTATACTAGTATAGTACTTCTGCTCCACTTGGGTTCAGAGGGGACTGTTGTACATTTTACTGCACTACCTTTATTTAACAACTAGTGGTTCCCAACATTTCTGTCTCATTGCCTCTTAAAATAAAGCAGTGTGCAGCTGAGGCTCCTTATTCTTGTCCTGATGTCCATGATTCCTCAGCTGTTGCACCAGAGACTCTCCACCTCTAAACGTCTCACATGGTCACATAGTATAAGTAGTTCAAATTATTATTATCCTTCATGGTTTGGTAAAGTGGCAGCACCACGCAGACGCCTGTGGATGGAGGTCCAGGTCTCCAGGGTTGCAGAGCTCTCTGGAGGGTTCAGCTCTGGTTGGAGGTTTGTAGCAGCTGATGATGTCGGGGAATAAGATCGTAATAAGTGATATTACGTTATGCAATCGTTGCTACTGTAACTGTGGTGCTAACATTATCCACTGATGTCTTAAATAGTAACCTTGTTCCATTATTATTAAATATCATTATTCAGTGTTTCCTCCCTGAAGGAGTAAAGTGTAAAGGTGATCCAGTACAGTTTAAATTCATGTTTAATATGGGACATTATTATCAGCTGCTACAAGGTTTCAAACAGGTGGGAACGTTATATTTTGTATCAATCAAATGTTTCTATTTCACAGCGTGATTACCTCGTCACTGAACACTCGACCTTTGACCCTTCCTGGGTGTCGTCATTACGGGTTAACAGCCAGTATTTAGCAGCCGCTGAGGCCACAAATGGACGTTAATGCTGTAAATGACATTAATCGTACTAATATGAGACGTGTTGGACGCTTTGACATCAGCTGTTTTTACTGTTCTGAACCTGTCCAACAATCAGCAGCAGAGTCCTCTCGTGGATTGTGTCCGCAGCGGTTTGTTCTGGTGGTCAATCCGTCAACACTGCTGCTGCTGGATGAACAGAAGAGAGGTGATCCCACAGTTTGGGTTGTGGGTGGAGGTTTTGGACCTGAAAGGACATCGGCACACAGTTATTGTGCCATTTACCACCTGAAGTCGCGCTGTTTAAAAGTGTTTGATGCCACTGCAGCTTTCAGAGCGTCTCCAGTTTTACAATAGATTATATTGTCTATGAATCTGTTTTTCAATGGTTGTAAATGATTAATGAGTCAGTTAATAAGTTCTACTTTCATAATAAAACACTCTTCTCCCTTCTTGTAACTCTCGTCTCACAACGACTGATACTTCAGTTCTTTCCCTCCACATATATACAAACAGACTGCTGGAACAATAATGTGTCTTTTAATGTCCACATTAATCCACAGTGCAGAGGAAGAGGAGGAGGAGGAGGATGTGTCTGTTGTTAATATGGACATGATGTTAATCAGGAACACATCGTTTTAAGCGATACATTGACTATTGATTAAATATTGAATCTAAATGTTGATTAGCTGGACATCCTGAGCAATATGGATGCAGATCTCGCAGTAAATAATAACCAAGTATTCAGTCAACCCGCAGTATAAATAGTATTCACTGTTCCAGTTTGAATGCAGACATTTTGAGGACTTTGGCTGAGGGCCCCAGGAAGGTTAGGACCGGCTCTGAAAGTATCCGAGTACCAAAGGAAGTGATTCTCAACCACAGTCCACACAAATATCTACTTAATTCAGGTTATTAAATAAAGTGTAAATGTTAAATCCAGTTGGTTTGTGTTCAAAGAGTCTTTAGTAAGACTTTAAGTATCAAAAACAGCTGCTGCAGCAGATCAATAATCACTCTGATTTCCTTCAAAATAAAAGCATCCAGTCATCCATCAGGAAAGTTTGTTTTATTCAAACGATTGGAGACAAAAGTTTAAACATGATGATTGTAATGTCTCATTATTATTTAGGACACTTTAATGTCCACATTAGCAACAGGAAGTGATGGTAGACAGATGTAGAGTTTGTAGCAGTGTGCTGTCGCTACATCACCAGCTAACTAGCTGCTCCAATAACAAAGAACCACATGAGGAAGAAAAGACAACTTAACAACATTAACTCACTGATTGGAAGAATATCTCATCAACAAGGAAACTTTAAGTGCAAATTAACTTAAATATTAAACACACACACACTACTGAGTCACATTATGAGTTGCTGTGATGAAATTTATGTCAGATTTGGATCAGCCAGTGATTTAATTTTTTTACTTTGATTTTCGGTGTGATTTTGAATCCAGACCTCATCAGTTGGTGGTTTTGGTTTCTATTGACCGCTGTTACATTATTTTGTTCAGTACAGTAAAGATTGTGAACTTGAATATTTCGTTTATCGGATCTGATGTGTGATTTAAGTGTTCCCTTCATTATTTTTGAGCAGTGTAGATTCAGGGATCTGTTGTTCTGACAGCAGTCACCAGAGGATCAAACAGCTAACTTCTTTTACTCTGAAGAACTGTTAGAAGAACTGTAGCCTGTACTGTAACCGTTAGAAGGACAGGATCCAAGAACTCGATCTTGTCCCTGCAGAGGAAAACCTGCAGAGGAGAAAAGAACAGTATATATTACATAAAGTCAACTTTCATTTTACACAGAAAAGATTTTGTTGTCCCTCACAGACAGATTGGGTGTGGACTCCATCACCTCACTCAGTGCTTAGAACAGATAAAGCAGCTGATGAACGGAGAGAAATCCTCAGAGCAGAATAAACTTTAAGCAGAAATAAAACAAGTTCTACCATCTGGAAATACAGTATTTTGCTCACAAACCAGACGACATAAAACAAGCACAAATATGAACCCAGTTTCACCTTGAAGCTGATGTTGAACCACAAACTCTACATTAAATATATTCACTCACTGCAAGAACTAAATAAACATCAAATAACATCCTGTCCTCATCCTCAGATTATCTTCTTCCCCAATTCCTGATAAAATAAATTTAAATATGTAACTTTGGCCCTGATACAACTGCCTCTCTCTGTCTGTACTCACCAATCTGTAGCTGTCTGTCAGTCTCTCTCTGCTGGAGCTCTATGTCAAAACAATTACATAGAAATAAATAACGGTTATTTGTTTTTAACATTTTCATTAATCATTGTTCACCTGTAAGTGATTCTAAATTTACCAATTGACTTTTCTTCTTTTTTTCTAAGATAATGTTGAAACATAATTTAGTTCTCTGATGTTGGACACATGCTGCCTCCCAAAAAGATTTAAATGTTTGTATAATTTTTCAGAGATTATTAGTTTACAGATGAGATTATTAGTTTACAGATGATGAGATTATTAGTTTTACAGATGTTGAGGTTATTAGTTTTACAGATGATGAGATTATTAGTTTACAGATGAGATTATTAGTTTACAGATGAGATTATTATTTTGCAGATGAGATTATTAGTTTACAGATGAGATTATTAGTCTGCAGATGGTGAGATTATTAGTTTACAGATGAGATTATTAGTTTACAGATGAGATTATTAGTTTACAGATGAGATTATTATTTTGCAGATGAGATTATTAGTTTACAGATGAGATTATTAGTCTGCAGATGGTGAGATTATTAGTTTACAGATGAGATTATTAGTTTACAGATGAGATTATTAGTTTACAGATGAGATTATTAGTTTACAGATGACTCTTAGCAGCCTCTTTTATACGGTGTGTTCAAGGTGAGAATGCTTCTGTTATTCCACCTCACCGTTCTGTAGAAAACACTAAAGAGGGGGCATTTTTGTTCTGCTGTTAATCCGGTAGTGGACGTAGAAATGAGCTGAACTGATGTCTGTTTAAAATGGGGGAGCCGATGGACGCAGACGCTGCTGTGTTACACGCTATGACTCTTTTGTTTCAGAGTAAAACAGCAAAACCTGCGATGGATCTTCTTCACTGCAGTATTGTTGGATCTCTTTAAAAAGAGCTAATGTTTAATGTTACCCTGAGGTCGACCACCAAACACACTGAACATCCTAAACCTTAAATATAAAGAAATAAATCATTTTTTAATTCCTATTTTGGCCCTTTAATCACTGTGCAAACTTCCCTGCTCTGCCGTGTACGGGAAGAGCCGATCGCAACCGGAAGGACCCGAGTTGTCCCGAAGGAACGTCAGAACCGTCCCGACCTGTCGAGTGCTGCACACCTCCTTCTCTGTTACGACAGCGTTGAGCAGAGCCAAAGAACTTGTGTCCGCTGTGTGTGAGTGCAGAGTCATTATATATTTACTGTTTATTGTTATGTGAGCCGCTATGTTGTAAAAGTACTGACGCACACACAGGTTTTGTACATTACCAGAGTCCAGTTAATATGTTCGAATTCCCTTATATATATATATATATATATATGTTCTAGACATATAATATTGTTTGTGTGTTTAATATTGCGGACGGGCTCTGCACCCGACGATATTTACGTTTATTACAGTTGCTGTGTATAACATTGTAAAGTCATATTGTTTTATTTCGTTAACATAATAATATATTTGCTGTATATTTATTTGTATAATTCAGGAAACAACAACAAGACACATCCTGTATGTTGTTCATGTGAGGAATTAATAAAGAAGGAAAACGTAATTCTCTGGAGTAGCTGCAGTTTTTCTTACCGGTAACTAAGGTCAGACTGTGTACGCCAGCATCCAAAATATAATCTACACTCACCACTTAGCCTGAAACTCTCCTCCTCATTTAGAGTGTTCTGCAGATCAGTCTCTCCGCTGTGGTTGTCTGTGGTTTTGACAAAAAAATTACATAAAAATAAATAACAGTTATTATTTTTACATTTTCATTAATCATTGTTGTCGACCTAAAGTGATTCTATAATAATTCTATAATAAACATCTCAGTGAAACTCACTGTACTGCCAAATGAAGCACTCTGACTCTTCAAACTTTACTGTTAACAATGAGCATTGTGACCAATCACAGCTGTGAATCACAGAGCGACACTTTATTCAACTCCATCTAAATTAATCACTCACTTTAAGCTTTATGTTCTCAAACTATAAAAGATCATAAAATAGTTCAATAATATGGTTTTGCTCAGTTTAGCAATCTTTGGTCTTTTTAAATCAATAAATGAATAAATTCATTCATTATAAATATGGCTGCTGGTTTAATGTTATATCAAATATCACTTAATCCACTAATGTCAGCCATATAAATAAGCAAGAAGTACTTGAAGCACTGAGCTGTCAATCAGAATGATCACTTGGTAGTTTAGGAGTCCAACCTCTGGTAAGAACAGATAAAGCAGCTGATGAACGGAGAGAAATCCTCAGAGCAGAATAAACTTTAAGCAGAAATAAAACAAGTTCTACCATCTGGAAATACAGTATTTTGCTCACAAACCAGACGACATAAAACAAGCACAAATATGAACCCAGCTTCACCTTGAAGCTGATGTTGAACCACAAACTCTACATTAAATATATTCAGTCACTGCAAGAACTAAATAAACATCAAATAACATCCTGTCCTCATCCTCAGATTATCTTCTTCCCCAATTACTGATAAAATAAATTAGAATATGTAACTTTGGTCCTGATACAACTGCCTCTCTCTGTCTGTACTCACCGTTCTGTA